TGGTTAACAATGGCTCTAATGGGAGGTTTTGCTAGAATAGGCAATAATGAAATCACTGTTTTAGTAAATGATGCAGAGAGGGGTAGTGACATTGATCCGCAAGAAGCACAACAAACTCTTGAACTAGCAGAAGCTAACTTGAATAAGGCTAAGGGCAAGAGACAAACAATTGAGGCAAATCTAGTTCTCCGACGAGCTAGAACACGAGTAGAGGCTATCAATATGATTTCGTAACAAGTTGGTGTGTCCTAATAATTACAAATTCTAAATTAAAAAGTTAAAATTTAAAAGGAACAAAAAAAAAGAAGAAGGGTGAGAAAAGATAAAAAAGAAGAATAAGTAAACAAAACAAGGTGGGTCGAAAAACTTATTAGATACCATCGATTCCGGTATCTAATAAGTTATACCTATTATACCTTACCTACTATTGGATTTGAACCAATGACTCCCGCCGTATGAAAGCAATACTCTAACCACTGAGTTAAGTAGGTCATTTATCACCCTAAATAGAGAAAAGGTACCTATCTATCAGATCAATGAATTATAAATGTAATCTTACTTAATAAGCAATACTAACGCAATTATGAATCAAAGAAATTGGAACATGTAATATGAATCTTGACAAGAAATTGTATACACAATATGATAAAATATGGAACAAAAACACTAAGGGCTATAGCTCAGTTAGGTAGAGCACCTCGTTTACACGCGCGCCAATGTTTTTTTTTTTTTTTTCAGAGGAGTCCATCATATAAAATAATCAAAAGAGTTGATCTTTTTGAAAAATCGATGTCTTACTCTTAGGGAAAAAAACAAGAGAACAATAGCCTGACGAAGAGTTTAGTCACCAAAAAGAATCCATAGTTGATTTGATATATTGATATGGTGAATACCCAGTCTATTCAATGCCAGGCATAACAAGTATAAGGACTCAAAAAAAGTCTCTTTTCTCCTATATTATGAACTTTAAGGTGTATGAAGTTTCATTTCTTATTACTTTAGTTTAAGTAGGTAGATAGAGAGTCCATTTAACTTAAGTTGATACAGGCCAAAAGCAGACCTATGTCAGGATAATCCTTCTTTGAAATACTTTGGTAGTGCTCTTAGATTCTAATCCACCGAGCACAGGGAGTCATTTCATTTTTCTTTCTATCAAGAAAAAAGATGGTAGACTAACTGATATTTCTATCAGTTAATGAAAAAGCCCAATGCAAAGAAAATGCACGTTGGGTCTTTCAAACAATTCAAATCATTTGAAAAAAAAAAATCAGTTTGATCTGTTTTACCGAGAAGGTCTACGGTTCGAGTCCGTATAGCCCTAATTATTTTTATTCCTGCGGATCTAAATTAAATATCTAACATCTCTCATTCTTAACCCCCATCTCGTTACTAAATACTCTCTATTTCTAATCTATTAGTATTAATAGATTACTATATAAATAGTATTTGTACTACAAATAGTAGTAGAAAAGATTTTTAAATTTCCATTCCAATTTCCATATAAATATTATCATATTCGATAAAATAATAATAATCTTATTATACTTGGATACCTTCTAAATTTTGTTAGAAACGATTGAATTCAATTCAAATTGAATAGAAAGTGAATCTATTATAAATTAATGAATGTTAATCTAGAATTCTTCTGTTCCTATAGAATACTATTCTATAGGAACAGAATAATTCTAAAATTTGGAATTGAAATCGACTAATAATTAACCCCAATCCGGTATATTTTCTTTACTTTATAGGAGTACGTTTATGTTTTTGCTTTATGAGTATGATATTTTTTGGGCATTTCTAATAATATCGAGCTTTATTCCTATTTTGGCATTTCTAATTTCTGGAATCGTAGCCCCGATTAGGAAAGGGCCAGAGAAACTTTCTAGTTATGAATCGGGAATAGAACCAATGGGCGATGCTTGGTTACAATTTCGAATCCGTTATTATATGTTTGCTCTAGTTTTTGTTGTTTTTGATGTTGAAACGGTTTTTCTTTATCCATGGGCAATGAGTTTTGATGTCTTGGGGGTATCCGTATTTATAGAAGCTTTCATCTTCGTGCTTATTCTAATTGTTGGTTCAGTTTATGCATGGCGAAAGGGGGCGTTAGAGTGGTCTTAATTTTTGAATATTTAGACAATAAAAAAAAAACATTGAGACAGTTATGAATTCAATTGTTTCCCCTTCGAACGAACAACCCAAAATTCAGTTATTTCCACTACATTAAATGATCTTTCAAATTGGTCAAGACTATCCAGTTTATGGCCACTTCTCTATGGTACCAGTTGTTGCTTCATTGAATTTGCTTCATTAATAGGATCACGATTCGACTTTGATCGTTATGGACTGGTGCCACGATCTAGTCCTAGGCAGGCAGACCTCATTTTAACAGCGGGAACTGTAACCATGAAAATGGCCCCCTCTTTAGTTCGATTATATGAACAAATGCCCGAACCAAAGTATGTTATTGCTATGGGAGCCTGTACAATTACGGGGGGGAATGTTCAGTACCGATTCTTATAGTACAGTTCGGGGAGTGGATAAGCTAATTCCGGTAGATGTCTATTTGCCAGGCTGTCCACCTAAACCGGAGGCTGTTATAGATGCTATAACAAAACTTCGTAAGAAGATATCTCGAGAGATCTATGAAGATAAAAAGGGTTCTCAACGAAAAAATAGGTGTTTTACTACCAACCACAAGTTTCATGTTGGGAGAAGTACTCATACGGGCAACTATGATCAAGGACTATGCTATCAATCGCTATTGACTTCAGAGATACCCTCTGAAACATTATTTTTCAAATAAAAAAAGTTCAGTATCCTCCCACAAAGTGGTGAATTAGATAGGATACTTTGGTACAAAATAAAAGAAGAAATAGCAAATCAATCTTCAAAAATTTCATCGCAATAAAAATAGGAAATATTTATACCAAACTTATAAAAATAAAAAAGGGCAGGAGAAGTAAAAAAAATGCAGGGTCGTTTGTCTGCTTGGCTAGTCAAACATGGACTAGTTCATAGATCTTTGGGTTTCGATTACCGCGGAATAGAAACCTTACAAATAAAGCCCGAAGATTGGCATTCCATTGCTGTCATTTTGTATGTATATGGTTACAATTATCTACGTTCTCAATGTGCCTATGATGTATCACCGGGAGGACTGTTAGCTAGTGTGTATCATCTTACAAGAATAGAGTATGGCATAGATCAACCAGAAGAGGTATGTATAAAAATCTTTGTCCCGAGGAAAAACCCCAGAATTCCTTCTATTTTCTGGGTTTGGAAAAGTGCGGATTTTCAAGAAAGGGAATCTTATGATATGTTCGGAATCTTTTATGATAATCATCCGCGTCTGAAACGTATTTTAATGCCAGAAAGTTGGATAGGATGGCCGTTGCGTAAAGATTATATTACCCCTAATTTTTATGAAATACAAGATGCTCATTAAATGTAAATGAGAAAAATAAAAATAAATGAGCCGGATTACATTTATAATTTATCTGAGATGAATTTAGACTATTCAAACCCCGGAACTTCCCTAGATTAGACTTTTTGGTCTTTCAACCAACTAATCTAACAATTTGAATATTCTTGAAAAAGTATTCATCTTCTTTCTTGCAGCGAAGAAAAAAAGGCAAACAAAATAGAATAATTCATTTTTTAGATACAGAATATACCTAGAACATACACCTACTCTTTACTCATGTAGAAAGAGTATATCTCCAGACACCTAGATGAAGAAAGATATAGCATGATATAAACCACTAATAAAAAAAGAAATATGTATCTATTCCCAAAATTTATATTTATTCAAATGAATATTGGGAATAGATACTCATACAAACAAATTATGTGCCAGGAACCAGATTTGAACTGGTGACACGAGGATTTTCAGTCCTCTGCTCTACCAGCTGAGCTATCCCGACCATTCTTGACGCATCATACTCATTTTATTAGATTACTTTAATCTATGTCAACTAAAAAAACACGAAAAAAAAAAAAGAAGACTTTGTCAGTTTTAATATAATTATAGTAATTCTTATGTATTGTTAATCATTTATATGAGGATTCCTTGCTCAAAAATAAGATGTTTATTTGTACATTTCTCATATAGAAAACGAATTCTACATCTATCATATATATGGAATTCCATATTCCAAATATATTTCACATATTCCAAGACTTGTGATTGTGATAAGAAAAATAAAAACTCCACTCAAATCCAAATAGACTGAATAAGACACATAACGAATCAAAAAAAGGGATATCGGATAATTAGAATTAGAGAGTAGAACGGGCATTTTGGGGATAGAGGGACTTGAACCCTCACGATTTCGAAAGTCGACGGATTTTCCTCTTACTAGAAATTTCATTGTTGTCGGTATTGACATGTAGGATGGGACTCTATCTTTATTCTCATTTGATTAATCAGTTCTTCAAAAGATCTATCAGACTAGGATGGAGTGAATTATTTAATGAATGAATATTCTATTTTTCTTCAACCTTGAATTGATTCACAACTTTCGTTTGTGATAGAGATATTCACAAATAAAATAGTATTTTAGTACATATGTACTAGACATATGTATAGATATATATATCTATGTTTATCCTTGATTCTTTCTGAAATTTTGATGGAAGGATTCCTCTTTCCTAGTAGGAATTCCTACTACAAAAGGAAATGTTGTCAACTCCATTTGTTTTGTTAGAACAGCTTCCATTTAGTCTCTGCACCTATCATCGCTTTCTGAGCTTTTCTTTGTTTTCGGAAAACGGGATTTGGCTCAGGATTGCCCATTGTGAATTCCGGGGTTTCTCTGAATTTGAAAGTTTTCACTTGGTAAGTTTCCATACCAAGGCTCAATCCAATTAAGTCCGTAGCGTCTACCAATTTCGCCATATCCCCTTTTTCTTTGAGATTGGGACCTCATTAGGATTCGGATGATTTCTTATTTCAATTAT